AGCCGCGGGGGGGCGCTGAGACGGCGAGGGGGAGGGGGCGGAGCGGGGGGGGGTGCGGTGCCGAAATAAAGTGGTCGGGGCGGAGGGGGCACTGGGCGGGCGCTGGAGCCGCGGGAGGGCGCTGAGACGGCGCGGGGGAGGGGGCGGAGCGGGGGGGGGTGCGGTGCCGAAATAAAGTGGTCGAGGCGGAGGGGGCACTGGGCGGGCGCTGGAGCCGCGCGGGGGCGCTGAGACGGCGCGGGGGAGGGGGCGGAGCGGGGGGGGGTGCGGTGCCGAAATAAAGTGGTCGGGGCGGAGGGGGCACTGGGCGGGCGCTGGAGCCGCGGGAGGGCGCTACTGGACGGCGCGGGGAGAGGGAGGGGGCGGAGCAGGGGAGGGGGGGCTGCGGTTGCCGAAATATAAAGTGTCGGGGCGGAGGGGGCACTGGGGGCGCGCTGGAGCGCGCGGGGGCGCTGAGACGGCGCGGGAGGGGGCGGAGGCGGGGTGGGGGGGTTGCTCTTTTGGGTGCCGAATTAAAAGTGGTCGGGGCGGAGGAGGAACTGGCGGGCGCTCGCGCCGCCGGGGGCGGGGGCGCTGAGACGGCAGCGGGGGAAGGGGGCGGAACGGGGGGGGGGGTGCGGTGCCGAAATAAAGTGGTCGAGGCTGAGGGGGCACTGGGCGGGCGCTGGAGCCGCGGGGGGGCGCTGAGACGGCGCGGGGGAGGGCGGGGCGGGGGGGGGGGCGGTGCCGAAATAGAGTGGTCGGGGCGGAGGGGGCACTGGGCGGGCGCTGGAGCCGCGGGAGGGCGCTGAGACGGAGGGGGCGCATGATGATGATGATGATGTGGATGATGATGATGATGGTGATTATGATGGGGGGGGGGGGGCGGTGCCGAAATAAAGTGGTCGGAGCTCTAGACACCCTGTGCAAGAGAATAATCCTTACACTGCACAGACTACACAACAACTTCGATGCTCCAAACGAATGTCCAACTCTACACTAGATGAACTGTACCGCTACTCCGCAATAGTTCTACCACAATCGCATGCCCATTGCCGTTCGCAGCACGGGAAACCATGCGCGTGGGCACCATATTCTTAGGGTGCTAATAGAACAATTCAATTGGCGAGACATCGGATAACCTTACGGCCGTGATATCCTCGCCTGTCAATTTACACTTCGACACCAATAGCCCTGGCCTCGTTTCACTAAACTGATAGATCAAGGCCTTGCCGAAACGGGCAGTTGATTGCCAATTGCCAATCGACAAACCAGTCAGGAAATATTGTGCACTGCACGTTGCAAGCTGCTCCTACAAACTATTGGTGCACTTGTCACTGAAAACGCATTTGCTAGCATGTTGGCTCGGTGGGTACCCTGACGTGTGGTCAATGCTCCTCCTTACGGCATGTTCCTTTCGTGGCAACTTCGGCACTGGCTTCTGGAATATGTTCCCATCCTATGGCCTGGGGCCCTCGCATACCCTAACAATTATTGTGACCAATCGCCACGCCCTCTACAGCGGGGACGCGGCCGCAAGGAACCCTGCAGCCCTGAACATCTGCCAAGTTTCTTGCCGAGGGTCTGGATTTCCTAGCAAGGGGCTCCGATAAGAGAAACCCAAGGCACCCTGGCCCGAACAATTTCTTCTCAAGCCGCGCTGGGACATTTCGCGGGCCAACCCTGGGACGCAATCCTTGGCTGTTCGGAGTATAAGACGGAAGGGCGGCAGCGTTCGCGTCGTTAAAGAGCAACCTCTGTTTCCCCTACAACATCAAAAGGTATCTTACATCTGCGACTAGACTCCGCATGGCTCCTCCTCCCACATATGCCAACACCATATGGGAGAGACAACAATATCGACCTGCACCCGTGTACGGAACGAACTGCAACAACTCCCAGTGCTTGTCGTCCAGAGCTTTACAGTGTCCTCGTCAGGCCGCGCTGCGGGACGCGAGCAGAAAACCAGCCGCTAGAAAAGAAGACAGCGATCTGCCCCTCAGCCTCCCCCCCCTCTCCCCCTCTCCCTGCCGCCACTCCTCCCTCTCCCCCCTTCCCTCGCTCCCTTCCTACCCCCCTTCTCCCACCCTCCTCCGGCCCTCCCCTCCCCTCCCCCCTGCCCCTTCCCACTCTCACTTTCCCCCTCCCCCCTTTCCCCTCTCCTTCCCCCTTGCCCTTCACATCCCCCCGCTCGCTCTCCCTGCCTCCCACTTCCTCCTGGCCAGGCTCGTCGCGAGTTAGCTTCCGATATACCATCCAGACTTTCTCGGCGTCTCGAACACGGTGCTCCCCCTGCAGGGTTGGCCACATTTCAGATTGGCGCTTTGCTCCTGCCGTTCAGCTCTCGCCCCAGCGCGGGCCACAACTCTGGATCCCATTCCTTCATCATCGGTGCCACCCTCACCTTTCCCCTCCTCCGCCTTCCCCTGGGGCTCCTCCTCCTACTTCCTCCTCTTCCTCCTGCTCATCCGCGGTTTTCTCCTCCTCCTCCTCCTCCGATGCACGCAACTCCTTTTTCTGATTGCGCATCGTACGATGAAGACATTTCCCGGATCCCGTCCGCACGGACACCCGTCGGCGGATAGAGAAACGGCGACGCCATGAGGAACGATTGGCGGAAGGGGTATACGGCGCGAGCGCACCCACCCCCTCCCCTGTCCTCCCTGCTGCCCTCCACCCTCCCGCCCCTCGTCGCTCCCAACCACCCTCCCCTCTCCTCACCCGTCCTTCTCCTCCCTCCCCTCCTTCCCAGGCCAACGGCGCCTATTCACTTGTCCCTGCGCCCTGCTTTGCCGATGTACTCATGTCTTCGGTGCGCTGGTGCCCTTACAAAACCATTCCACTATAAAAACCGCGCGCCACGGTTGAACACCAACCGAACTGATCGTCATGCCGCTAAGGCTGCTCCCAAGAACACCCTCATCCTGTTCTGGAGCAGCTTGTCCGTCCCAGATGCAAGGCAAGAGCGCGAGACCCTGAAGCGTCCCTGGTTGGAGGGTGTGCGAGGGCAACCTCCGACCCCCCCCCCCGCGTAACTTTATGGGACAGGTCAACGAACGTGGGCGAGGAAGGGCGGGCCGAACAAGCAAGTATGCGAGGGCGTCGTCTCTGGAGACTCACTCCTTCCAATCTGGTTGGCGGCGACAGGACGTGGCTCCTCCCTCCTTCACTCTCTTCTGCTGCCGCTGGTGCTCCCGCTCCTGCCCCCCCTCACCATCCCCCCTAATCACTAGCACATCTGACTGGATCAACTATTGTGCACAAGCCTTCCCCCTCCCCCTCCCCTTCCTCCCCATCCCCCTCCTCTTGCTGCACCGACACCTCGTCTTCGCGTTGATGCCGTTCCTACTCCTTCATCATGATCCTGTTGCTGCTAAACCATTTCCATGTTATCCTTTCCTCCTCTCCACCCCCCCCCCCCACTTATCCACTCCTTCCTCGTCTTCCTCCTTCTTCTTCTTTTCTCTATGTATGGTTATTCTTCTCCTCCTCCTCCTCACCATCCCCCTCGCCCTCCCCCTCCTCCTCCTCCCCCTCCTCCTCCTCCTCCTCCTCCTCCTCTTCCTCCTCCTCTCCTCCTCAAGCTGCTCAGCCACATACTACTCATCGGTGAAAGGACCTCATACCCACCGATAAACCTTGCGGGAACGAACCTTCCCTCAAGGCCTTCTCCCACAAACTGCGTGCATGCATCAGTACGGAATCGCTGATTAACATGCATCGAACGCGCGTTCCAGCATGCCGTATGGTTCCGAACCTTGCATGCAAAACACGAAACGTGGGCTTCTAAAAACCAACGACTGCGGGCAGATTTCTTGGGTCGGCGCTGTCCCCCCATCACATGGCGCGCGACACGCGCCAGAGACAGGGCTGCTGGCGCCGCCTGGTCCAGCACCGACCCAATGGAACTACGTGGACCTTAGACCACTATCTTGTTTCTGTCTCTTCGAGAGGATAACGCGGAGGGTAAAAGGCGCCGCTGACTTTCCCGCGGGCGTCCCGCTGCCACGCCTGTGCTCCTAAGCGAGGAACCTATTCTGGCACTTCGGAATGCCTCGAGGGATGCGGGGAGAAGCGCGTCCCGCCAGACGGAATGCTTCCAATCGTTTCACGCGCATGCGGCATTTCGTGTCGTGGCGACGCCGGCGTTGGTCTCTGAAACCGCGTGGATCGTTCAACCAGGCACGATCGCGGCTATCCGACAGCGCGGATCGTTTGATATCGACCAATTCTGGGCAACTGGATACGTTCAAACTTGAACGCCCGTGCTTGCATCGCCGCCGCGTCAACGCGGCGGCGCGAATCCACGGCAATCATAGCCGCGCCGCGAAGCCAGGCATCGGAAAAGACGCGTAGGCCGAAGAGTGCGCGATTGGCAACAACTTGGCCGACACGTGCATGGGAAGTGCTCCAGGAAATCTAGCAGCTTGCGCGCACAGGGAAGGCAGGGGAAGGAGGGCATCGAGGGATAACTTTGATGGGGGCCCAGGGACACACAAATAAACACACGCAAACAACAGGATTCCCCACTTTGTTTGTTATTTTTTTTCGGAATTTTGTCATTCCCCCACTTCCCATATTTCCCCATATTTCCGAGGGACTCGACAATTAATTGTCTGGCACGCGCCGCACGAAGGAAATGTCTCTACATGCTGCGACCGTTTAGTACAGCTTAACTTGTCGTGGCAGCAACATGTCCGAAAGAAAATGCCACCTCGTTGTAACGTCTCTTCTCTGCTCACTCTCGATGTATGCGAACATTGGATGCCCAAAAGGCGCCTGACACATGTCGTGTGCACGGCGGATATCGGGTTCTCTTGCCTCCTCGTCCTCATCCCACTCCTTAGTCAGACATGCGGGTCAGGTAAATGGAACAACTCAGACTCCTATGAGGTGTCTATCAAAAAGCGAAACGTGCGAACATGCTGCACACGACTTCCGCAATAACTGGCACTAGTTGGCACATGGCGTCCGGATGACCCGAACAGGTCCCGAGCGGGGGGGCGAGGAACCAGGATCGGGGGACGACTGGGAGGAGCAGGACGCAGGACGAGATAAGAATACCAGCGAACAATTGACACTTTCGGAGGTCCGAGGTCCGAGTGGATTTCTGGGGTCGGCGCTGAACCACCTTCCCCCGGCGCGTTCGAACACAGACACTGTCGGGAGGAGCATGAAGCATCGGGAGAGGCGGAGAGGGCACGTGGCGAACCAAATGAATGAGAGGGGCGAACCAAGCAAGCATTTGCGGAAGCGGGCAAGGAAGCCCTGACGCTCAGTAAGGCAACCACCAAACGACAAGGTCTGGGAGCTTCCCAAGCATGCTGACTACCTACCAGACCAGCCCAACCCAACCCGAAGACCCGAATTTGACCCGACTTTCGGGTTGGGGGGGGTTCAATGTTCCCCGACCCCCCCCACTGGAAACGGAGGGCAAATTGAAGTCTTCGGGTTGGGTTTGGGGTGGTTTGGTGGGTGGTGACATGCGGCGTCCTGTTTTTTTCAACACGCGGTCCCCGGAAATGCCGACCCTGTCTCTGGGACCAGTTCGTTTTCACCCCGAATCGCGTTTTGACGGTCCTGGGGCCCGGCGAGGGCCCCCAGAGGCCGAAGACGACGAGAGACGTCCTGATCTTGCCACGACGCGAGAACGTCTGGGTTACGTGTAGTCGACAGAAGAAGACCTTTTTTTTTTTTTTTTTTTTTTTTTTTTTCTGCCAGCCTTTGTAATACCGGTCGCTCTGTGGCGCCCGCGCCTGTGCACATCATGATGCGATGCGCAGCGCAGCTGCCAAAAGACGGCGCCAGTGCACGTGACCTTTAAAGCCCATGCAGCGCTCGTGCTAACAAGCAACATTTCCCAAAGATGACTCATGCACTCAAGGTGTGTTTTTTTTTTGTTTCCACGTCGACCACGGCGGCTGGATGTCTCGACAACTTCGCATGGCCACTGCCCCCGGACATGGAGGAAAGCCGGGCTGCGTGGGCAGCCGACCACCAAAGAATACGGAGACGCTATCAGGCACGTGGCAGGGACAGCGAAAGAGCACCCGAGACAATTATTGCCCAGGGGCCAGGCCGGAAATGTTACTTAAGACCGGGTTTTTCGAGACCTGCGGTCTGGCGAATGCGCTGGCCAACACGGGCCTCCCGATACGAATTCCCACTTAAAACGTATCTGTCAAAACGGGCCGTAGACTGGTCATGCCCCAGCGCTCGGGAATCCCCCGCGAGCGCAGCTCCGGTGGAGCGAACCAAACGCACCAACACGCTATCATAAGGGGGAGAGGCGGCAGCGGCGGCAGCGGCAAGGAGGGAGGGAAGAAGAGGAGGAGAGGGGGAGAGAGGCGGAGGAGAAAAGAAGTGCAGCGGCGACACCTGCGGATTACCCTACAGGGCCACCCGAAACGCAGAAGAGGAAAGAGCCAACATCGGGCCTGCGAACATGCACGCCAGAAAATATCCGACGGGCCACAAAAGCCACGCACGTATGGCGGCCTGGGCGCGAAACCATTCCTGAAGTAAGGTGTAAAGTCTTCGGCTCCAGCCGGCGGGCGCTGGAGGCTCGCTGAGTAACAGCGGCCCGCCCGGTTGGAGTGCCCGGCACATGCACGCGTACCTGAAAAACACTATACAAAATAAAACAGCCGGGGAGGCAAAAGGAGGGAGCGGGGGGAGGGGGAAGGAAGGGCCCAGACTACTATCTGCGGCTGGCCTCAGAAGGTGCAGCTGAGGGACAGAATCACGAGGCTCCAGGGATCGACTCGGAGATGTCGAAGTGAGCGCGCTGCACGTGATATCCGTCGTGTTGCCAGTGGTGTCCGCCGTGCAGCTCCTTGTGCTCGATGTGCTGCTCGTGGTAGTCGTTGTGTTGCGCGTGATGCTCGTCGTGCCATGCTCGTGGTATCCGATGTGCTGCTCATTGAAAGC